TAGATAGGAAAGAGTAAAACACGATATACAAAATGCGAAGATTTCTCATCTGTTTATTATCATCGATGAATCGGGCTAATATGATGTTTCCTTTGAAATAAATAATTGAAAATCGATTTCCTCCGTTTGAATTGTTTATGAAACAACAGTGGACAAACCTAAAAGAAAACCTTACTTAAAAGTAAATTCCAACCGTGAATTATATTTGGATCGTTTCGGCGGTTGTAACGCACCTCCCCCACAACACACCCGATCTTCATCAGATGTATGTGGATCTGAGTAACATAATAAATTTCTAACTGAACCCTTTATTTAATCTACGGAGGTATATTGTCCTTGTTCCACTGGTCATGTCTAGGGATACCCCGTATATTTTTTTTATTTTTTTATTTTAGTAAGGCTCAGTTATTGCTCGTCCTGTTTTCTACGTCACAAAATTTAAATCCATTGGGCTATTATTCTTTTTTTTAGAGGAGGAGAGGAAACAGAAAATTGTCACGGTCTGCCTGCCTTATCGGAGAAGACCTTTTATAATTAGCCGGATGAAGGTCAGTTTGCACAACGGCCGAAACTTTATGATAAACAACAACAAAGATTAGGGCAATCGTCATCATGAAAATAGAAGGTCAGTTTGCACAACGGCCGAAACTTTATGATAAACAACAACAAAGATTAGGGCAATCGTCATCATGAAAATAGTGTAAATAATAATTCTGCATCCTAGAAATACAAACAGATATTAGTAACTTATTTTTAAATATTAAATAAAAGTAAATAAGAAATAAAATCTCTGCAAAGGCGTTCTGAGAACGCGGCGTCGTAAAAGTATTTACACCAGACTTTTGAAAGAATGCAATAGATAAACTATAAAAGGAAGTACTGTCGTACAAATCCAAAGACATTGTGTTGATGTGCCAGATAAAGATGTAATTTACTGCAAGAACAACTAAGTACAGTTCCTTTAAGGTTAACAAGTTCTCCTCTCTTGATAGTGTATTAATCAATTTTATTAATTACTACACTGATTATGAATCAAAAGAGCAATTGTCGGGCTTACGACTGCTTTACTTCTTTCATAAATTCGATAATGTTGCTTCTGAGAAGATAAAAGAAAACAATAGACACTCTTTCTGTTTTTTTGTTATCACTCATTGATATTCTTCCCTTACTTTCCTTTCTTTCTTTGACTTATTCGGCATGAATTTTATTTTCTCTGTTATTATTTTCTATTGATTTATACCCTATGTTATATTTTATTATGAAAGTCAATGTTGGAACAAAATTTTGATATTACAAATCGATATTTGTGGATATATTTATTTGTATATTACGGCTGATGATAGTAATAATTATAATATATTAGATGTTAAATTATTTGTTATGAGACTTTCATGTTTTATTACACAAAATATGTGCTGCATATTTTTTTATTTATTAATAATTTTAAATCATATAAATATATTTCATTAGCACAATGCCAAAAGTACTTGCATATATTATCATTTTATTTTGTATATTAATATATGCTCGTTGCGGTCTTATTCATAAATAATAATTTTAATATTTTTCTATTGATTCGATTTTAATATATGTATCAGTATTGTCTTATGATTCCTACATATTTCCTTGCCTGAATATTTTCATGCTCATGCCTTTGAACTATAACATTTAAATTGGATTGTTATCTGAAGGGGCTTTTGACAATGCATTACTTTGTTTTCTTGTTGAATGTGAAAAATGTCATTTTAGAAAATCCTTGCCTTACGTCAATATACACTTGAGCTTAAAGCTTCTTGTTTTTTACTTGTTTCTTTCTAAAACCATATTGTCCAATAATTAACAATTCTCTGCATAAACCTTCATACTATCATCAACTCTGAAAGGACCTATAGTTTTACTGTTTAAAATCCTAGCCTAAAATATTACCTCACCCACGTTGTTGTCGGCCAGCCACTTCCGCCATCTAATGTAGTTCTACATTTTCAAAGAAAATTGCTGTTGCGAAATTAATTTTCATGTACTTCTTTGCCAACTGGGGCGTTTCAGTATATGAGTCTAATTTCTTTTAATATTTTTGGACTAGGTTCTTAACTGTACGGAACCTCTTCCGTATATTCATCAGCCTGTGTGTTTCCGCACTTTGCCGATCAGTGGGTGTAAAGCCACTGGAACATTCACAAGGAGTCAGTTTTCAAATGAAACATTTTGGTTTACCACTGGAAGATCAGGTTGATGCCCATCAGCGTGATATCCCAAGTTGAGGTCTGGCGTCATTCATTATTCGTTACCAGCACATTCTCTTATTTCTCCAATATAATACTCACTGCCAGGATGTTTGCTTTGGGCCATACGTCAATTTACCACCAAACCTAATCACTCTTCTCAGGAAAGTTTTTGTTTCACTCTTGCCATAGTCTACAGCATCATTTGTTGGAGGGAAAGGCGATCTCCTTATCACCCCAACTTATGTGATTTGCATATTGTCTTCGCTTCATTATACCGTGGAGCTATATATACACTCACAGGTCCCTTATATGATTTGTGAACAGAAAAAAAATGTTCCTTTGCATAATGATTACAGGCACCTCCGGAACGTTATTTCCTCATTTCAACATCAATTTTCCGTGCCCTCCACTTTACTCCACTAACAAACAGGTGACCTCGAGGCATTCTGCGCTTTACATGTCAGACCAAAATGATTCGAGTTGTCAACATGAGATCTTTCTTGAATGCTTCCACACCTATAATAGTATACCACACACCTTATAACTACTCTTCATTGTTTGGGGTGAACATTCAGTCCAAAGCCCAAATTATGTTCTTTGGTATCTTTGGACATAAACTTTTGATATTGCAATAGGGATCTAGGAAGTCAAGCCTGAAGGAGCATCTGAAATTCTGCAAAACAAATTAGAAACTTGCCAATGTTATCTTGCCCATCTACATATCTATATCGTTTGAGAATAAGTTAACATAGCTTTTTAGCTCTCTATGGTTAATTATTGGGCCCATTTTTATCCTTGTTCAGGCTGTGTCATGACGAAAAGCGCAATGGAATTCTAGTAGAACAAAGTTTTGTTCGGATGATGGGATCAACCAACTGTTCTCAATCTTTATTCGGTGCTCTGGTTTGTATACGCAATGCGTACAGTTTTGTACTGGAACTTTCTTCGCCCACCCTTACATGATACAGTCCACATGACTACCACTGACAGAATTTTGCGCAGAAGTCCGGTTCATAAATACGGAAATCTACACAGAAAGCTGTCCCTGCTCCATCAAACTGTACGGTTCCTGTTTGTTTCATGAGAAAGCCACCTAGCGCTTTTATGGCGTTGATGCCAAGTATCAGATCGAAGCCAAGTTGTTTCCTCAGCTTGCGTGGGATCAATCAGAAACGAAGCGTGTCAAGAACGGTTTCTGCTACATTGGTAGCAGCATATGCAAGTTCTTTGTCCTCTACCTTGTTGACACAAATACCATTGCATAAAATCACGTAGATCCTCTGTGACAGCCGTCTCTGTGTCATCTCATATTGGTTGTGTATTTACTACAAATTGTCCCTCCCATGCTAATTCATTCTTCATCACTCACAACTGATCCATGGTTAACGTGCCTATCCTCTAGAAGGTATGAAGAATAAAATTACGTGGTCCGGGAAGCATGCAAACAGCACATAATACAGTGATAGAACCACCAAGACACAGGCACCACATTAGAATCCGTTGCAAAGGTAGTATATAACACATTCTTTATCTGATTTATACCGGATCTATCCCCAGTTGCTTGTCGACCTCTAATTCTCACCTATTCAATTGACACAGAAAGTGAACCTGCTCAATATTTTTTATCCAGCACAGGATGCATACAGTTTTATTTTGTTGACCCATTCAATTATGGATAGAGAATATGCTGAGGTGTCAAACAGTGGGTTTAATTTGTTGTTCACCATTTTTTTATCCGAAGGGGCTTGTAACTTTTAATGGCATTCACTAGCTTTCAGTCTTTCGAATTGCTGACTCGTGTAACTACACGATACAGAGCTAACATCTCACAAAAAGAGTATTTTAATATTAATATATCAGAAATATGACTCAAGCCCGAAAATTCGATGCTGGACTTCGCTATATAGACATTAACTTATCTGAACGCATTTATTGACCCAATGTTTGAATTCTCAATAACAACATATTTATACTTTCATGCAACAAACACATATTTACTTTATCTTTAGGGAAAGTCTAATAACAATATTTATAATATCCCGTGAGGAGCGGAATAAAACAAATTTTATAATTTAAAAGTGAACTAAGATGATTCGAAATTATATATACATAAAATACTTAAAGCAGATGAGTTTTATGTGACACTTTACACAATTAAAAAAAAATTGCAAGTTAACCGATCAAAAGATTATGTGGGAAAATGTATCAAAATATCCCACAACGTCAGAGAACCCAACAAGAATCTAACAAAAACAGGAGAATTGAAAAATAGAAATGCAGAGAACTAAAAATAAAGAAATTAAAAAAAAGAAATGAAATAAATATTTCTAAAGATGAGAATATATTCCGAACTAAATTTAACGAAAAGAAAATCTGTCTCTACATTAAACGGATTGAATTGACAAGTCCTTCAGAGCAGTACAAAATGCCTAACCATTTCACTTTTACCCACCATACGCTAAAGTCCGTAGCGGGATTCTTCTTTCTCTTTCCACTCTGAACTTAACTATAAACCGATGCTCTAAGTAACCAGATGATGAGGGTAAAAAGGCATATCTTAGTGGTTTTATATTCTCTCGCATCACGCAAATCACCATTCAACTCACAGAATTATATGGTATTTCTTCATGTTAAATACGTTGCTACAAATGGAATAGCTTTCCAAGCCAATGAACTCTTCTGGGGATTGATGTTATAAGGATTGATATCCCACTTTCGTTAATCCAAACAATTCGTTACGTATGGCTGCCTTATTAATATTTGGTATACATTTAGAGAAAACGGTCGGGTTTCAGTGGGACAGATTTCCTCCGAGAAAAGACCCGCGCAGAATGTTGGCATTCGCGGTAAAATATTATTTATCGGTTTGAACAAAAGTACCGGAAACGCTTTCTTTGCATCTTCCAAAAGATGCCGTTATCGTCATCTTTAGTTCTGAGTACCTGGCTGAGATCCTGGCATCCAGATAAGGACCGAATTGGCCCTCAACTTGCGCAGAAATGGTTCAACTGCAATGACGAAAAGCATGTGTAAAATCCGACAAATTTGACGAATTGATTTGAAAACATTAAAAACCAATCTTCTAGTATAACTCTGTGTAAAAGTGTATTTAACTGCTAGTGAATGCTGAACACAGATGATAAAGAGACTTGAGGCAGCAGAAATGTGGTTCTACAGAAGGACGATGAGAATACCATGGACCGAATAAGTGAACAACGATGAAGTTTTAAAGAAAATGAAAACAGGAAAGACAGTTATACTTAACATGAGAAAGAGGGTTTTGGAGAATTTGTCATTGACAAGACATATTGAATGCAAGAGGCGTAGAGGAAAACAGCGAATAACCTACCCTACCTAACGAGCTTATATAAATGGTTGACAGAACAGAGATTAGGAGAGGTATTGAAAGGACAAAATTTAATCAGGGATGGAAATGAAAGGAAATTAAAGAAAGATAGGATCACCAAACGTTGTGAAGGTACACGGCACACAGAAGAACTATTTAAATCGCATTCAAGAATTGAATTCAAACGCCAAACTGTGGCTGAAATCTGACTGCGTATAAGAGAAAAAAAGGGTGTCGATTCTATCGAACTCCTTGAACTCTTAGAAATTTAACTGAACGACTTCCCCGTTCACTTACTGTATGATCGTGTGAAGTGCAGGTTTTTCATTATCACTCTGCACCTTACAGGAAAGGATCAACCTATTTGAGAGACTAGTCGTAAAAAGTCTTGATGTCCCTCAACCTCACTTACCTTTTAAATGAATCGACTGAGTTCTTTCAGGATGTCCGAATTTCTATAACATAATTTATATGCTTATTCGGGTTCGAAAAATTAAAGGCTGAGCGTGTTTGTTCCTTTAAGCTGTCAATGTAAACTGTAAGTGACATTTGTTATATTTATCCTAGTCAACTTCCTCCTTTCTTATATATAAGATTTATCCTATCACCAAAATCGTTATTAGTCTGAAGAAGTTCTTTCTTGAACCGAAACGCGTCACTAATATTTTTTCTATTTGATCATTCACTTACTCATACATTTATTTACAATATGATAAACAACCCTTCAGTTGCATAATAAAGTTTTACCCTCTGAAATAGTTATCGTAAATATTTTAAATTAAATCAAATATTATAAGCTGGAAAAAATTTGGTATACTTATCCAATAAAAATATGTTCAAAATGTTACCAATATCGGTTTTTTAATATCAATTATGCAGTGAAAACATTGGCTTGTATTATAAAATCTGGGATCTTGTCTACGTATCTTACCAGATCTTAATTTCGTCAATAAAGAATGCTGTTTCCCTCTCTGGTTTAGTTTATTCCAAGTAGGACGGCTACTGAGAATCTCTATGAGAAATTCTTTCGTCTTTGCTTTTGTAATCTTCACTTAATAACATTTAAGACAATCTGAAGGAACTTGCTGTTTGAGTCCCCTGAGATAGCGTTGGCACCAGTTTGTCTGAAAACTGTCGAGTCTTTCAAAGAAATTCAGCTTCTTTGTTGCTTCCTTTAATAAAGGAGTAAATTGCTTACAATACACTTGGGGAGGAAATAATGTTTGCATTTTCCTTTTGAAGAGAAAAAATTGCTTCAGAAATTAATGGCTTATGTTTCACTTGGATTTTTTTCTTTTCGATTTGAAAAGCCTTCAAAACGTTCCTTGCTTGTCCATTCCAGATTAATTACGCATCTTCTTTCTATTTTATTATTATCATTTTTTTCCTCAACACCACTTTTCTTTTTTCTCGGTTCGTTGTCACCTCTTTCTCTCTCCTTCCCTCTCTCTCTCTCTCTCTCTCTCTCTCTTTATTGCTCCTAATTTTCCGAGTAATTTCGTTATGCTTTCATTTCTTTTCTTCTTTCTTTTTCTACGTTTTACTTTCCATTTCGGGAACATCTCCTCTAGATTTACTTATTTTTCTTCTTACATTATTTTCCGTTTTCTCTGTAACACAGGCCATCAATGAAATACTTCTATAAGTTCATATAACCATTATGGAAATACTTTCATTCTGTATGCTTATCACCACTTTCCAGCTTGGTGAGCAACGCTGCCAACCATTTTTAATATTCTTGGCTTTTATTTCCACTTCTCATACTTGTTGGGATCACTCGCTTCTTCTCAGTATTACTTCTACTTACTTTTCTTACTTTGCAAACATTATTTGTCATCTCCCCACCCCTGTTTGTATCATTTTTATTTCCATCCTCAGAATTTTATTAATGAAATAAATCGGCATTCGGGAGATGCTGCTGTCCTTATTTGCAATGAATTCATAATAGCCACTACTTATATTTCAACTTCTCTATAGTTTTATCTCGTTTCAGGACTCTCATATCTATCTATCTATCTATCTATCTATCTATCTATCTATCTATCTATCTATCTATCTATCTATCTATCTATCTATCTCATTCTATTCATATCTATGTATCTATCTCTTTCTATTTATATCTATGAATATATCTTATTCTAGTCATTATCTCATTCTGTTCATATTTATCTCATTCTACTCATATTTATGTATCTATCTCATTCTATTTATATCTCTGCATCTATCTATTTCATTCTATCCATATCTATCTATCTATCTATCTATCTATCTATCTATCTATCTATCTATCTATCTATCTATCTATCTATCTACCCTATAATACGATGGAGTAGATATATTTGATATTATTACGGGCACATCATTCCAATTTGTTTCTGTGTTTTATTTAAAATTCTCTTAAAATTATGTCTTAAAACACAAGAAACTGAAAATGAATGAGAAAAAATTCAGATTTTAATCAATAATGCTAACCGAAACAACTACATTGCTAAACAAAAATGCATGACTTTATCTCTGACATTGTACTTTATGATTTCCCTTAAAGTTAATTCTGCATAAAGATATCAGAAGAAAAATGTCTGATTCAATAACAGAATTTATCGTCTTCGACTAGAATATTAGCGTATTTTTTTGTAAAAAGAAAATGCGATATATATCACGTACATATGTACATAGATAATTTCAGTCCATAGATGAAAAAGTATGTTTCAGACAATATTTTTCAAAAGAGCAACATACATTTTCAATACAACTAAATCAGTGGTGAATATCAGTTCAAATACTATACAGAGAAAATTCATATCATATATTCACTGATAACTACATATCAGGGTTTGGTTTTTTTGATCACCTGTCTTCTCTCTCTCTCTTCTCTCACTCTCTCTCTCTCTCTCTCTCTCTCTGTGTGTTTATTGCGTAATATAATATGGATGTGATTACCTGTTTATATTTTTGTGTGTATGAGCGAGAGTTAAAATATTTTAAAAAAATGTTCAGTTTATAAAACTGTTTTATTTATGGTAATAAAAGTGTCATGGGAGTTTTCCTGTTCTCCTTGCTGTTGTTATTTTTTCATTAGTAAGTTAAACCTTCTCTATATTTTTACTAATAGATTTTGCAGACAGTATTATCTCGATCCATCAGAAATTTTATGATGTGTGTAATACAAATTTATGTCACATTTCCCGCGCAAGAATTATTAAAAATTTTGAAATTATTTTGGAGAAGCGACACAATTATTTCCCCCAACAAAAAATCAATATGTTACAAAGAAAATAAAGCAAGATTACTTAATCAATTTTACAAAAAAGTACTTTTTTTTTATTTCTGATACAATGATAAAACTATTTCGTTAATACCTGTTAATACACCCGGAGAATTTTTACACTATTTTTCAATACAAACACCTCCCTTCTCAATGCATTTCAGACAACGCTTCTCTACTTATCATATTATAGAATAAAACGTTTAGATCAAATTCAGATAATAAAATATTTCAGGCTAAATAATCATTCATTCCCACCTCATACGTAAAATTCATGGTATTCTGGACAATCCCGATGTGGAATGGCGTCGTTTCGTTGCGTGTAATAGAAGTTGGCTGGTTTGTCAACGATAACATTTTCTGACAGTATAAAACCAGTTTTCATTTGCTGTACTGATTTCCTTTTATTAAGAAATCACAAGTTTGATGAATTAGTTGTGAGCTTTTCCCAACCTATCTCATTGAGAGGATTTCGTTATTCCCAAAGATTAGTGTCATTTAATTTTGGTCATGTTTGATACCAATTTTGATTATGCCTGGCACCAATTATTTGAGAATCTGTGCCCATAGAATATCGATGAATGAATAAATGGTTGATAAGACAATTTGCAAGATCGCTTTGCAAAGATATTTTCTTTGTATTAAGCACTCAAGTTACAATTTTACCAAATTAATTTTAGTTTCTAAATCGGGGTAGCAAATCAGAACTATTGGTTGCTAAAATGATCGTTCTGTTTTCTGTATTCATTTCTGGATGAAGAATTATCATTCTTTACATTCCGACTAATGTCCCCATCTTTGTTGTTGTTATTACAACGTTTCGACCGTTTGTCGATCCCCGTAACATTCATGTATTATTTAATTTCATCCCGCCATCAATATCTAGGTTAGTACTGCACTATTATTGCTGACCCCGTTTCCACTGTGTGAGTTTATACTACATGACCCAGGTATTGAACTTGCAAATTTATGAACCGACTCTTTAACTTTTACGCTATTGTGGCGGGATTCTTAAATTGTTGTGGTAATAACAAAAATGAAGGTATTAATCTGAATGTGAGTGATGCAAATAAATATTTCCTTAGATTAAAGAAGATTTCATTACAATAAAAATATTATTTTCATTGTGAGTTATCGCATGCTTGTCATTTTAATCCAGAAATATCATTATTTATATGCGGACTATTGTCCTCATCTTTATTGATTTTAACACAACCTTTCGGCCGTTATGTCCCCGCTCTACAACGGCTTTCACCAGGTGTATGCTGACCCGGGTAACCTACAGGGAATTTCAAACTGAATCTTATCAGAGAAAATTCTCAACAGGAATCAGGATGGAGAGTTAAAACACAGTGCTCGTCGTTTGCTTGATTGATGCTTCCTTATAGAAAATACATTAGTTAGGTGGAGGCAAGGTAGATAACTCATGTCTTTTTCAATCTGCAAAAATAAAAAGAATTCTGATCCTAAAATGAAAATTCTACTGATTTCTTACATACAGACTCATTTACCTCCAGTCTTTGTCTGCTCAGTGCTTCTAAATGTTTTAAGATATTTAAAAGATTTAAAACGTAAAGATTGTGTAAAAAAAACAGGCCGGATACATAGTTTGAGGAATTTGGCTGTATATTCTTATGTATTATATATCGCCTGAAAATATTTTTAATCACTTTGCGTTAACTTAATATATAATACCATGAATATCTCTAAACAAGTTTTTAAAACGTAAAATTATCACAATCTTAGGAATGGTGTATTTTATAAGTCCAACCATCATTTTTGAAGAATCAAAATGTCAGAAGAGCCAGGAATAAAAGGACATGAACCATTAAATTTAATCCATTCAAAGTTAGTGATGCATAATAATTAAGTGATAATTTGTTTAGCCTTAATACGTTAGAATTTTAAACCTATATTGAAACCGGACGACTTTAAACCTATGTTAAAACCGGACGGCTAGATTTAAGAAGCTTATCTGTCTCTTTCTCTAAAATAGATTAACTCGAAACTGAAGTATTTCAAAACGAAAACTGGGCCGTACTGACGCGGCTAAATTTCTTAAGAAATTACTGAAAAGTAAAAGAAACAAGAAAGATGAGGATATTAGTCTATTTCAGTATGGCGTGTGTGCAATTTGAATCAATATTTGAGTGATCTATATTGAATATATATTCAATATTTGAATATATATTCAATATTTGAATCAATATTAAGTAAGTGATGCTTTACACCTAGGGCAAAATATGGTATTGCATGTGTAAATATTCATTTGACTAAGAAAATTAGGTATTTCTAAAAAAAAATGATTGAAGCTGTATTAAAATTATTTCTGTAGATATAAGGTAGCCATTTCAAATTTCTATTCACATACGGACACATCACTTATATACATACTAGACATTTAAAAACATATTATACATAATGTAAATCCATATTAAATAGAAATGAAATTCAGTTATATTTTCTATCAGCATCAAGGAATGCTTTGTTGCTGTTTTGAAACTGACTACATGTCTTGATGAAGCGGTACTCATTCATATTATTCACGATGGGGATTCAATGAGTCGTTGTTACTGTAGGGCACTCCCGACAAAGCCCTAGACTCTTTCGAAAATAAAGTCAATTGATTTATTTTTTCTCGTCAGATGGATTTCACCTTTCTTAACTCTATTTACACACATATATATATATATATATATATATATATATATATATATATATATATATATATATATATATATATATGTGTGTGTGTGTGTGTGTGTGTGTGTGTGTGTGTGTGTGTGTGTGTGTGTGTGTGTGTGTGTGTGTGTGTGTTTGCATTGATTAACATTTTCTTTAGTGTTTCTAAACCGAAAGAATACTAGAGCTATCCAATCCCATCGAAACTCTCTGCAGTTTAAATCTGTTTGTGTCTTCTGTAGTGTCCTATTGGTAAAACAAGTTGGCGTAAAAATGCCACTGTCTCCCGGGTCATTGCGTCTTGCACCTGTGTACCGTTATATTCCAATTTATCGGCTTGAGTCTATTAACAAAGAAACATTTGAATTTGTTAAGAACTTTCTTTTACTTTATATTCTCCAGAATTTTGTACTTACTGCTGAGGATTAAATGCTGTTTCCGTTGTAAGCTGTCAAATACATACACGAGTATATAAGACAATGTATTCATATGTGTACATGTATTTATAGTTAAGATTATTTCTAATGTATATGTGACCATGTGTATACTATAGGCATTTATGTGCATTGGGTGAAATCTGGCTAAGTCTAGATCTCTTTTCTCTTTTTTGGCTTCAACTGAATTTGTTTTCTCAGTAAATACATTCAGAAAACAGAAAATGGCTTTCTGAATAATTTGATAAGTTTTAATACTTTTATAGATTCAAAAAAAGAAAGTGTCTTCTTAAGTGGTCCTTTTAAAACTTCTAAGAGTTAAATTTAGAAAACCGAAAACATGTTTCATTTTCGGCAATTAACGTGCAGAATATACATGACATTGTGCCAGTAAAAATTATGACTTTAAAGATATGAGTGTATCCAACTGAATACAAATATAACATAATTTCCATCTGAGGGAAAGTTTAGGAAGTGTGCCAAGAAAGCTTATTAATTATAAGGGGAATATCAGAACAAAAATCGAAGTCACAACAACGTAAATGTACACAAATGACGACAGGGTTATATAAATCTATATAAAATTATACAAAAAAATGTCATATATATTCGTATACATGTAGGATACTAAACACAAGTCGCATAAGTTATAATTTCAGGCTAAAAGGTTGAAATTATAACTTATACACACACACACACACACACACATATATATATATATATATATGAATGAAGATTATATTTCATTCATGTATAAAAAGATATGATGACCTGTCCTGTTTGCATTTGTATGCATAAATTTTTAACTAACAAGCATGAAATTAATATACATTTTGTTTTTTCTTGTGATATCTTTTTTTCTTGGAAAATCTCATACTCACAGGACAGACTGAAGGCCAGAGAGACAGCGAAAAACAATGTATAACATACTTAGTGAGT